CCTATATCTGCTTGGATGGCAGACATAGTCTCTCTGGGGTATATTCCCAGTAATGGGATTGCTGGGTCAAATGGTATCTCTATTTGCAATTTTTTGAGAAAGCGCCACACCGCCTTCCACAATGGTTGCACCATCTTACATTCCCACCAACAGTGAATAAGAGTTCCAATTTCTCCACAACCTTGCCAGCATTTGTTGCTTGCTGTTCTGTTTTGCTATTCTTACTGGGGTGAGATGCTATCTCATAGTTGTTTTGATAAAATTAATTTTAATGAAAGTTTAGAGAGACTTAGGGTGTCCAGTAATACATTGTTGCACTTTTCTCCCTGTCCATCCTCTCCCTCCCAATTCACTCTCCTCCTTGAAAAGTAAAATAAAAACTCTTTCATTGTTATGCAATCCCTTCCCCCAAGTCCACTCTACTGTATAGCCTTCATTCTGGACTCCTGTCATGACAATAATACCCAATCATATGTCCCTTTTAAACAGTTCTCTTCCTCATCTGTTTCAATGCAGTATACATTATTCCTGCCCTTCTTTGTTTTCCCTCAGCCCATCTTGGCAGTCCCATTTTACAAGTGTGGCCCTATACAATATTTGTCCTTTTGTTGCTGGCAAAATTGTAAAACTATCTGCAGAAAGCTCAAGCAAGATCCACACCTCACTCCATACACAAAAAACAATTCAAAGTGGATTATGGACCTAGGACTAAAATCAAGGACTATAAACTTCATTAGAGAAAAGCTTGGGAGAACTCTAGAAGTCACAATCTACAACATAAACCATCTTTCAAGCATCCTGGAAAATCTACAATCAGGACAGGATAAAAGAGATGAATGGGACCTTCTAAGAATCAAATCCCTATGCACATCCAAAACCACCTCCAACAGGGTAAAACGGGAAGCCACAGACTGGGAAAAAAATATTTGGTAATGACATGTCAGGGACTCATATCTAGAATTTATAAAATCCTACAACACCACAACAAAATAAAGGTAAATAACCCAGTTGAAAATTGGGCACAGGATAATATTACCTTTTTAAATGAGATAAATAGTACAGAAAAGACTTTGTAAAAGTGATTCCAATGCCAAGTCAGGCTGCCTGTTACTTTAAGTAAAACCTTATTGTACCACAGGCACACTATTTATTATGTATTGACAATGGTTGCTTTTACATTTGAATAGTTACACAGTTAAGGTTTTGCATATGATTGCCAACATTGGGAATATTAACTGTTGTCCTTTTATGGAAAAAGTTTTCTGATCCCTGCAACAATTTCCACATAGCAACATAGTTTGCTGGGGAATTGAATCTCTACCTACCCTGCAGTTCACTAAATACTAATGGCACTGGCTGGCTGGCTTCTTAAGCTTGAGTGGGCATTGATAATATCAAGAGCTGCTAAGACGGGGGGTGGCATCATGGCTGCGAGATGCCAAGTTTAAATTGTTTTCTTAATTCTGTGGTTTGTTTTATTTCTATCCTCTGAACAGATTAAACATTGGCTTTTGATTTCTTTGAGATGTTGAGAGAATTTATTTCCGCCTGTGTTTCTGCGAACAAGTTAGTAGGAAGCATATTGATCGTGGGGTTCACTAATGAGCTTCTTCCCCTGATTTTAGTTGTTTTATAAGAATGGGCAGCCTTTCCCCACACATTGGCCAGTGGGACTGAGAGTTCACATCTCCCATGTTGAGCTCGCAGTGGAAATTTCGGTGACCCAGGAAGTCCTTTCAGGAGCCCACTTCCAGCGTGGTAAAAGTGGCCTTCACTGTGCGCAGAGCTGGGCGTTATGAAATCACAGTGAAGCTTGGTGGATTAAATGTGGCCCACAGTCCTTACTATAAAATTTTTCAACCTGGTAGGTTTTGTTTTTTCTTTCTCTTTAAAAAGAACATCTTTCTAGTAAGACTAGCAAAATTTAACAGAACAGCAAGCAACAAATGCTGGCGAGGTTGTGGAGAGACTGGAACCCTTATTCAGTGTTGGTGGGAGTGTAAAATGGTGCAACCCCTGTGGAAAGCATTGTGGGGCTTTCTCAAAAAGTTGCAAATAAAGATACCATTTGACCCAGCAATTCCACTACTGGGAATATACCCTAAAGAGACCATAAATGACATCCAAGTAGATATATGCATACCCATGTTTATCGCGGCTTTGTTTACAATAGCAAGGAGTTGGAAACAACCTAAATGCCCATCAACAAGCGAATGGGTAGAGAAGCTGTGGTATATTTGCACAATGGAATACTATGCTGCATTGAAAAACAAGAAACTCATGCAATATTATTCAAAATGGGTGACCCTGGAGGACATTATGCTGAGTGAGGTATCTCAGTCACAAAGGGACAAATGCTATATGGTGCCACTGTTGTAGAATGAGGCTGGCATTGGGGTGGGGGTAAGACTGAGAAAAACTGGATGAAATATGTTTACAACATTGAAGTCTATGGGGGAGAGAATAGTCTAAAAGTACTATATTTTAGGGCATTATTTTTATCGTAGGAGTACCCAATGAGGGTTGAAGAGTGGATTATATTTGGGGGTGGGGTTTGGGGATGTACGGGGGGATTGTGTACCAATGAGGGAGTTTTTCTTTTGCTTTTCAAGGAGAGGAGCAAACAGGGGAGGGGGGTGTGTGGGGAGAAGGGTGCAACAATGAATGAATGGAATTCCAAAATCTCTGTAGATGTTCATTGAAATGAAAAATAAACTAAGTTAATAAAAAAAAAGAACATCTTTCTTTTTTTTAAAAAAAGAATTTTTTTTAGTGTGTACCGTCAAATCAGATGTGACTGGTACAGGAGGGCATTGTTCTTCCTTCTCCAGCAGAGCATCTGGTGGATTTGAACTGCACACCTCTGGGATTGTAGTGCAGTTTCTTGCCTCTAGGCCACCAGAGCTCACCTATCTTTCTTTTTTTTTTAAAGAAAATATTTTTATTGATTTTCATACAGTAGTTCATTTACATTGTGTTTATTAAAATTGTTCATATTCACTGTATCCTATATAATTAATCACCATTGATTTATACCTATTATTTCACCGTCTTTTCAAGTCCCATTGATTTTTTTCCGTTCCCTCATCCTCGCACCAGTCCATCCACCAAACTCTGCCATCCTAGTGATTTCCACTCTTCCCCTTTTACCACCTCTTCCCACTTACCTCTTCCCCTTTTGGACATTTGTTCACATCTTACTAGTTATCCTTTTATTTTTATAATAATAGTCTTTTACAGTATGTGTCCTTATGACTGAGTTAGTTCACTCAGCATAATGCTCTCTAAAGTCTTCCATGTTATATATAGTATTTTACAATGTTGTTATTCCTTAACGTTGCACAGTATTCTGTTGTGTGAATATACCACCGTTTCTCAGTCTGTTTATTGATGGATATTTCGTCTGTTTGCGTGTTCTTCTTGCTAATGTGAATAATGTTGCTGTCAACATAGGCATACAAATCTCTGGTGGTGTCTCAGTTCTAATTTCCTTTCCTTGTATTCCTAACAGTGGAAAAGCTGAGTCATATGTGATTTCTGTGTTCAGCTTTTTTGAGGAAACTCTATACTGCCTTCCAGAATGGTTATACAATTAAATGAACATCTTTATTGAGATTTAATTCACATACTGTACCGTTCATTCATTTAAAGCACATGATTTAGTGGTTTTTAATATACATAGAGTTGTATAACTGTCCCCAACATCCCTTTTAGAACAATTTTATCACTTCAAAAAGAAGAGATACCTGTTAGCAGTCACTTCCTATTTCTTCCAAGACTCCACAGCCCTGGACAACCACCAGCTGACTTTCTGTCTCTGTGGACATGCCGTTTCATAGAAATGGAATGGTAACACGTGGCCTTGGACTCTATCTGCTTTTACTTAGCATAAAGTATTCAAAGTGCAAATATGTCGCCGCAAGGAGCCCTGGTGATATAATATGTAATGTGTAGAGTCTGGTAATCGAAGGATGAGTGCTTTCAATCCAGCAGCTGCTCTACTGGGAAGAGCTTGGCAGGGTCCTCCTAAAAGGTTTACAGTCTTGGCAACCTGAAGCGGGGTTATTGTGAGAAGCATTCGACCCTCTGGTGGTGGTCTTGCCTTTTTTCCTCATGTGTTGGAGCATGAATCAATACCTTGCTTCTTTTTATTGCAGAATAATATTGGCTTGGTCTGACTACGGAGATCAAAGATGTTGGTGATCTTTTTGTAAAGATTTACGGCCATTCAGTTCTGTCTCAGATGGTTGCTTTGAGTCAGAATCATGTGACAGTGGGTTCTTATGAATGTATGACATTTTCTGTGTCAGCAAGTGTGAGGATGGACAGGTTAGAACAGGTTTCAGATCTTTTGTTCATAGGGTCTCTATGGGTCGTGCTCGACTCAACAGCACCTAACAGCAGCAGCATATCCATTCGAAAGCTCATGGACATTTGGGCCATTTAAACTTTATGACTGTTTAAATTTTGTGACTGTATGAATAATTGTGGTTGTTAGTATTGTTGTTATGACCCCGTGTACAGCAGTCCCAAACCATGCTCTATCCTGTGTCAATCTTACTGTCTCTTAAACACCTACCCCCATTTCTCCGGTCACTGAACCAGTCCATCTCATGGAGGGTCTTCCTCTCCTACTCTTTCCCTCCACCCTCCCAAGCATGACATCCTTCTTCAAAAACTGGTCCCTCCTTTTAATGTGTACAAAGGATGTCAGATGACGCTTCAGAATCCTTGCCTCCTAGGAGCAGCCTGATCTCACCTCTAGGACGAACCTGTTAGTTCCCTTATGGTATATTCAGTACTCTTCTCCAGCACCATGGCTCAAAGGCATCAATTCTCCAGTCATCCCTAGTCATTGTCCAGCTCTCTGATGCATAGCAAGTAATTGCAAAGACTATGGCCTGCATCAGGTGACCCTTAGATTCCCAGACTGACATTACTCTTCAACGATGAATTATATTCAATGATGTGTTAGAGACAAATTTTTGTGTGGACATAGGGTTTCATGTCTCTAGGAGTGGAATTGCTGGGTCATCATCTGAGTAAGTTCTTAAGGGAGTCAGGGTGCCAGAAGAGATAAGTAGTAATTTCATCTGATATTTGAAACCTTTTAAGTTTCCAGTGCTACCAGTGATTCTTTAACTTTGACTGAAGAATTCCTGCCCAAGCTTTTGTATCTGACTATTGAGGCCTTTTATCTCTACTTTTAGTTTTCTTTCTTTCTAATGTCAGATAACAGATGCTTTGTAGTATAATGTCTTTTAAAAGTATAATGTCTGACCTGTGATTTTGCAGTGTATGTTTTATGTGTTGAGACCCCATTTGCCCTGTGTGCCTTTCCTGGCTTCCTTTTGAGGGTATCATCAGCTACTGGCCTATTTGGTGTCTCTAGAAATGTGAGGCCATCAAACCATAATGAGTGGGGTCTTAAGGAGTTGTGTATATCTTCACTTGAGGACTCTTAACTTTCTTTGCCTCAGTGGAGAAAGGCTTTGGGTAAGGTAACCACCAATCCATCTCTCCTTCCATGTGTCTATTTCTTTGTCTCACTCAGAAATCCTTTCCTCATGAATTATCATCATTCTACCTCCTTGTCACCAATGGAGAACAGTTCATATCCTTGTTGCAAGTTCTTTTAGAATTAAATGTTTTCTTTTGAGATAATTGTAGCATCACATACGATTGTCAGAAATAATATAGAGAGATCCTATGATCTTTTACTCGGTTTGTCCTCTTAGTAACATCTTACAGAGCTGTCAAATGGTATCGTAGCTGTGTATAGGCATTGATACAGTCAAGGTACAACAGCTCCATTAATATAAAGATCCCTCTTGGTGCCTTTTTATTTTTTATTATTTTATTTGAGTGAAAATAAATCATACTAGTTTTTCATGCAATCACCCATCCACATTTTGTTTTATAATGATAAGTGTTGTTGTTATGTGACATCTAGTCTCCTATGATCCTATGTACAACAGCTCTGAACCCTGCTCTATTCTGAACTAGTCTGACTCTTGACACACCTAATTCCATCACCCAGGTATCATGTCAGTCTAGCTCATCTGAAGTCTTCCTCTCCTGTGCTGTCCCTCCACACTTCTGAGCATGATGTCCTTCTCCATGGACTGGTCCCTCCTGGCCAGATGCCCAAGTTATGTGAGATGGAGCTTCAAAATCCTTGCCTCCATGGAGAAACTTGGTTTCACTCTCTCCTAGACAGACCTCTTTGTTTCCCTGTCAGTCCATGGTATGTTCAAGACTCTTCTCCAGCACCATAACTCAAAAGTCATCAATTCTTCTTCTGTCATCCATTGTCATTGTCCAACTCTCCAATGCATAGCAAGTAATTGTAAAGACCATGGCGTGGATCAGGTGTACCTTCATGTCTAGCCTGACCAGCAATACTCTGGGGAGGTCCCTGACAATACACTTCTCCAGTAAAATTTGTCTTCTGATTTCCTGACTGCTTGTGACAAGTGTGTTGATTGTAGAGCTGAGCAAGCTGTAACTATTAACAACCTCAGTCTCTTCTCTATGTATCAGGAAGTTGCCTTTTGGCCCAGAGGTGAGAAACTATGTCTTCTTGATGTTTAGCTTCAATCCATACTGAAGACTATAGTCCTTGACCTTCCGCAATAAACGCTTCAGGTCTTCCTTAGTTTTGGTAAGCAAGAATATATCACCTGCATAGCACAGGTTGTTGAGTCTTCGTCCAATACTAATGCCACAATTTGCCTCATAAAGTCCAGTCTCTCCAGTATACATATTGAAAAGGTATTGAGACAGGATGCATCCCTGACATACTCCTTTCCTAATTTTGAACTATGCAGTGTGTCCGTGTTCTGTTCTGAAGACTGCCTCCTA